GGGCTTGTCTGGATCCACCATGGCCTGGGTCCCCCTGCTCTTCGCCCTGCTCACCTACTGCTCGGGTGCGTGAATCCAAAAAGATTTTAATCCAAAAAGATTTTCCCTTCCCCAGCTGCCTGTGCTGGCTGCCTGCAGAGTGAGCTCTCTCTCCGCACAGCAATGAAACAGCGAATTGATCCCTCTGTTTTCTCCTCTTCTCCCAGGTTCTCTGGCCCAGTACGTGCTGACTCAGCCGCCCTCAGTGTCTGTGTCTCCAGGGCAAAACGCTCAACTCACCTGCTCAGGGAATAACATTGGTAGCAAGAATGTGCAGTGGTACCAACAGAAACCTGGAAGTGCCCCCCTATTCCTGATATATGAAAGTAGCAAAAGACCCTCTGGAATCCCTGAGCGATTCTCTGGCGCCAACTCTGGGAACACGGCCACGTTAACCATCACTGGGGTCCAGGCGCAGGACGAGGCTGATTATTACTGTATGGTATGGGATAGCAGTGCTCTGTCTCACAGTGACACAGCCTGATGGGGAAGTGAGACAAAAACCTCCTGACTAAGAAAGGCCGCACTTAATATTCACTTCTTTCTTGTGATAGTGGGTGGGCTAAGATTTCCGACATGAGTAGGGGCCTGCACATGTCATCTCCCAGAAAGCCTTCAAGACATAGATTCCATTAATGGTGCTCTGAGAATGGCAGAATCACAGCCTCTTGGACATGCAATGTTGTTGTATCCCTGTGTGTTCCAGGGAATTACAGAGATCAGGTGGCAAACTCTGTGTAGCTCCAAACCTTGTCTCTCTCCAAGAGAGGATGGTGCAGTAAAACTTCTCTCCCTCCCAGACACTTTTTGAATCTAGGGTAGTTTCTCTGCAAGCACAAACTCTGGGGAAATGTCACAGTTTATCACTGGTTTACATACTTTGCCCTGAGTGATTCTGCATTCTGTAGGTGATGATCTAATGGGAATTATGGATGAAAGAGCTTCTAGTGCACATCTGGTATTTCACACAGAGCTGAGGACTCAGATGACCTCACTGGAAGCACTGGAAACACTGCAAATCTCCTGGAAACACTGTAAAAGCCCCCTGCACTGTGAACACAGTGAACAGCTTCAAAGATC